CAGACGTTTAGGTAGAGGTGATTTGCTTAAAAACGTAGTAAACTATGAAAAAGTGGGAATATCAAAAAGTGGATGATGCTTTATATCTGTGGTTTACACAGCATCGAAAACGTGGAATACCAATTTCCGTACCAATTCTAAACTTAAGTGAAGAATTGCCAGTTATTGAGGCGCCTGTTAACTTTGCAGCCAAAGATGGTTGGCTGCATAGATGAGAAAAACGACACGGTATACGAGAATTAAAAGTTTGCGGAGAAAAGTTATCTACCGATAAGTCCGCTGCATTAAAATTTGAAGAACATTTTAAAGAATTAATGAAGCAGTATGGTTTAAATCCAGAACAAATTTACAACTGCGGCGAAACGGGTCTAAACTAAAAATGTTACCGGCGAAAAGTTTAGCGTCAAAGCAAAAGTCGAGATCCTGGTTACAAACTCAGTAAATAACGTGTGACTATCCTTGCTTGTAGCAATGCTACCGGTACACACAAACTTCCTTTGTTGTTAATCGGAAAATCAGCTAAACCGGGAGCATTTAAACACATCCATCCTAACGCTCTTCCAGTGGTATAGAAATCAAAAAAATGCCTGGAAGGATACCGCTCTATTTAAGGACTGCTTTTACAATCATTTTGTTCCCAAGAAAATGTATTTTGCTATTATACAACGCTCCGAGCCACCCAAGTGAGGAGCAACTTAAAAGTGGAGAAATACGAGTGATTTTTTTGTCTCCTAACGTAACGTCACTAATTCACCCAATGGATCAAGGAGTTTTAGAAAATTTAAAACGCAATTTATTATAGACGTTTGTTATTAGAGCAAATTTTAGATAAGTTGATAATGGTTGTAACCTTGTTAATTGTTTAAAAGAGATTAACCTCAAGAATGTGGCATATTGGATAGCAGAAGCATGGAGCCAAGTAAAAACTTCTACTTTACATAAATCTTCGTCGACAATAATTAAGCAAGCTGTGGAACCTTGCACAGACTATGAGAATAACAACGAACATTTACTTGAGCTCGTCGTAAAAATAGCAGGGTGTGAAAATCTTACCCGAACAGGTGGTGAGTCGATTAATGGTGATGAATTGGTGGGAGAATTAACTGATACATAACTAACAAAAACTGTTTGTAACAATTGCGATGAGACAGTTTTAAGTGATGGTAGTGACTATGAGACGGAAATCTCTGCCAAAATATCACATTTTGAGGGATTAGAAGCTCAAAAAAAGGCGTTGACTTACGTCGAACAACAAGAAAATGCTGTCACAGCTGATCTGCTACTTATCAAACTTTGGAGGGATATTGTTGCCAAAAATAGGAACAATGCAAAATGTGCACAGTTAAAAGTTACTTCCTTTGTTACTGAGTACTCGTAAATATGTATGTTTGTATCCACATGTTTATATTTTACGCAACTTTATATAGGTATATACTCACTTAACACACGCGTTTACTTTTTTCAATAAAAGCATTGATTATCCGAACTCACTTGGGTCCACATTATTTCCGATAATCGGGGAGTTACTGAACTTACATACTGTTAACAGGAAGATGTCGCGCACTCTTCTGGACGATAGGACGACTACATGACCACGCTGACATTCATTATGCGTCATCGACAGAAATGAGTGACATGGTTTTTCGTGTCATAACAAAAAAGCGCAATATCTCATTATCGAAATTTTTCGCGGTTAAAATACTTCCTCCCAAAGTTGGGTAGGAAGTAAAATTATTTTCAAGCAACCTGCTACTTTGTCATCTGCCTTTTCGAACGATGAAAAAAATCTAACGCGTCATTCATTGTCGCATGGTTTTAGCTTCGCGAGATTTTGTCGAATCAAGAATGTCGTGAGCAGATCGGTGGCTGATAATAATAATAATAATAATAGACGTCTTTATTTATCCACAATTACATTGTAGTATAGCCAAATGTCAGACTTATATGGCGAAGTTTAGCATGCTGCTACTCTTACACTTAACTATATAGTCTCTAGCAGATGTTCAAAAGGATACACTATCCACAAACAGATTTGGTTCATTACATCGAAAGTAAAATTTAAAAAAAGAGAAAAAGGCATACTTTCCAAACCCAAATGCACCAAAAAATTATTAATCTGAATTAAAGATGGATTAAAAAAGAAATGAATGATTACGTAAATTATATGTTTAGAGGGTTGAGTATTAATGTTTTAACTTTTTGTCGAACGACAGGTAATGAAAATTCTTTATATACTTTAGGAAGGTCATTATAAATAATAGCAACATTGTAAGAAAAACTGCATTTAAAAAGTGTAGACGTATGCAGGGGTATTCTAATATTATTTTCTCTGAGAGTTCTACAGTGAACATCATTATTAAATGAAATTTTTTCCTTCAAGTAATAAGGTTTAGACGTGAGCAGCAATTTGTGAACAAAAACTGAATAGTGATACTTGACCATGTCATTAATTTTTAACCAGTTTAGAACGGGATATTTCGCTGATACATGATCAAATTTACGTAAGCCAAAAATGAATCGTATACAATTGTTTTGAATAACTTGAATAACGTTTTTAGCGAAATTGTCTAAACAAGTATAGTATACGATATTACAATAATTTAGTATAGATATGACCAATGCTTCACATAGTTTTTTACGCAACTTAAAATTTAGTAAATACCTGTTTGCTATAAGAGTGCGCAGCCGTAGGTAGGTTGTCTGAGATAGACTTTTAACATGTTCAATAAACCTTAATTTTGTATCAAAAACAACACCAAGAATTTTTGCAGAATCAGAAAATTGCAAAATTTGGTTATATATGTGAATGTTCAAGAGCTGTGTTACATTGTATGTTTTTCTTTGTGCGCAAAATAATATTTTAGATTTTTGTGGATTAATAAGTAGATTGTGATCTAAAGAGTATTTAATTAATTTATTAACATCGTTTTGTAAAATTTAAGTAGCATTATTGACATTATCTGGGTTAAAATAATGGAGCAATTGCGTATCGTTTGCAAATGACTGGACATGAAAATTATCAATACTTTTGCTTAAGTTGAACGTATATATGAGGAACAGAAGCGGCCCCAATACAGAGCCCTGAGGTACGCCTGAGGGAATTATTGTCACTTGATACATTTCTTGATTGAGAAAAACACACTGAGTTCTTTGATTATTCGAAAACGCAGACAATCTGTTGTACGACAAGTCTTCGCGGCGCCCCATCTGAGGTGTCAGTCGATGTAGTTTGTGTACTATGGGATACTTTACATATCTCGTCATTTTCGACAAAGGGATGAGTTAGCGGAACGATGCTATAATCGCTTATCAACCTTCTGTTGCGCGAATCAGATTATAGAAGCCCTGTCGCCAACCTGTCAGTGATCTTGTTTAAGATCCCGCAGCACAAATTCCGTTCGTTCTGCTACGCTATACAGGGTGATTCACAACTCGTGACCAAAAATTAAACATCATACACAGCACCACATTTTAAGAGGGGTGTTCTATGTAATATTGTCTCCTCGAGGGCTTCATTAAAAAGATACGGGGTGTCGAAGTTTAAAAATAAAAATCGAAGAATGAAGGCTTTCACGGCTAATTCTAATGTAATTTAGGTTTTTCCGGCTGTTGAGCCGTGGTCGGGTTGGATTTGGTCCATAGCTTTCGGCTACATCTGCGGTAGCCATCTTCAGTGGCGCTGTCGGCGAGAGCGATGTGCTCGGCTTGGCGGGTCGACTGAAACTGATCGGTTAACTGGATGAGCGTGCGGTTTTATAGGCGATCGGCGGACTGAGGACTGAGTTGTCTGGTGGGGGTACTCGAGTGACGTGGCTTTTGCGCTGTGTTTTTTAGAATTGGGAACCACGTTTTGTTTAAAGCAAGGCCTTCTTCTCTTCTATTGAAATTATCATTGTGTTTATAGATTTCAATTCCTTCTCTGTACATTGGGGCTGACTAGTGGGTGGATGTTGATTGGACTTCAGTTTGGTCGAACAGAACATTGTGGCCGTCTTTGTGTATCGAGGTTCACAAATTCGATGTGCCCTGTCCATCATATTTTTAATGACACCTCTGTTTTGCCCAGAATGATGGTTGGAGTCTTTGTGTAGATATCTGTCAGTGTTTCTTGTTTTGCGGTAAACCCTGTGACCCAGCTTTAAGTTCTCTCGTCTGACCACCAATACGTCTAGGAAGGCCAGTCTTGGCGTTAGCATATTCATACGCTTACAACTCCGGTAATTTTAAGCACGTATCAGGCATATCTCACACATCATAAATTTCGTCCATTTGCCTTTAAAACTTTCAATATTCTAAATACACGCATCTAATGTTGATATACAATATACATGGTTCGAGGTCTGATCGATGTCTGAGACATCGGGTCTTGACCGTTAGAGATGGGATGCTGAGGAGTGGCAAGATTAGTCATAGCAACGTTGCCAGATGGTCGATTCTGTTGTAATTATAGGGGAGAAATTTCGAGATCGCAAAGATTTAAATGGGTGGGTACTATAGACTAACTGTATAGGCCTGATTAACTGACTTGATCTATTTAATTCTTCTGTTATTCATATGCGTAGTCAACCTTTCTAACTTGAACTGATGACAGCGTTGCGTTGAAAGTGCAGAGTTAGCCTACTTGACGCCATCTTTTTCTTCAACGCTTGATCATTACAAGGTCACTACTCAAGGTTCAATATATATTTTTTGAACAATTAAAAACCCTGAAACGAAACACACTATTTAAGAAAAAGCATACCTAATTATATGACATAACTTCATATATTTTCTGAACAGTTTGGACATACAGTGATGCAAATTAGTATTGCTTGGAAATATTGTTTTCAAAGTTGACAGGGTCTCATAGACGCAAGGGTTAGCATTGCCTGGTTTCTGGCTTACCAGACCTGGCAAACTTACGAACTGATACTATGACACAAGAGCTATGGTTCTACGGTCCTCCCTGAGAACCAACGATGGTTTAACAAATTAATATTAATTGAGTTATTTTGTTCCAGCTGAAGGAGATTTCAACGATAAGAGTCGCCTTCAACCGGTGAAGCTCCAACCGTCTTGGGAAGAGAATAACTTGCCAGAGGACGAGTTGAACTTCAGGAGCTTAACTATGGATGAAGCGAGCTTAGCTCTCAATCAGCCGCCCGATAAATTTAAACTTGTATATTTGACATTTCTGATACATGGTATTGGAGTCTTGATGCCTTGGAACATGTTCATCACTGCCATGGACGTAAGTCATCCATTCTTGTACAGATCCGATTCGACTAACTCATTGAACGGTGGTGAAGCTCTTAAACTAAGTTTAACCATTGATTAATATATTCCACTAGGAGAAATCGTAGGAATAACTACCAGAGAAGTCCAGGGTGATCTTTCCTGGGAAGGTTGCTGTCACGTTTAAGGATAAATATTTTTTTAAGGAAAGTGAAATATTTATTGTCTCGATACTTGGCAACGTTGTTGTGATTTGTATTGATGGACGTTATAAATGAATCTCAATACAATATATAGTTGGACATCACATATAATAATCAGTGGTTGAGCTGAGATTAAATTGAGTTTAATTACGTATCAATTTCTGAATCTAAATTCTACGTTCCCTTTAATCATAATTTTTTGTTTCAGTATTTTATAGGTTATAAGTTATCAGAAGGTTATATAGGATTCACGTTCCCTTATATACCAAATTTTATGCAGTATTTAACATTCTGCTCACAAATTCCTAATGTTGCGTTTAACTGGATGAATATTTTTGTACAAATCGGGTAAGTTCACTTTTCTAAACAATACGCTTAGTTCAGTCCACTTTTGTATTATGCTTTTCATATAAAATTATAACTTTTATGTAGTATAGTTAGGGTGACCATAATATTTAAACAAAAAAACAGTACACACAAGAAAATCACCACTGGTACTGGAGCAATTTTTTGTCTAAATCTAACACATTTTTAATCAAGCAAAATAAAGGTATTTATGTTTTATTATAATACAGATGCAGCAGCAATATAACAAAAGATTTTTAACAAAATATGTACGTAAATATTTAAAAGAGTATTTTCATTTGACGTGCTAGCTTGACCTTTCGGAGTTTCATTTTGGTACCAGTTGTACTTTTGGGAACTATAAATTGCCTTTAAAATTTGTGGTTTACCCATTAGAAAATGAAACATTTCAATGCAAGTACCATTAAAGTTTATGTAGACTTGCATAGTGGCTTCCAGAGTAGATATCTTCAACTACGATTTTTCAGAACTGCAATAGTTATTAATATTTGAGAACAACCTCTCAGTTGACGCACTGGTCCCAGGGAGACAAAAAACAACTCACATAAAATGTTTACATTTTTGAATGCATTTTCTGTTTAGAAAACTTCGAGACATCGATCTTCAGTAGAGAAATATTACATACATACTTAAATTCCAGTTATCAATTTTGTTTTCTGTGACGTTCGTTTATATTAGACTAACTTCATCGAATTTTCTGATTCAATAACGGACCTATGTAGGCCTCAAAAGCCTCATACTAAGATAACATATCCGCCCAAGAAAGTTGTTTTATCTGATTAGCCCATACAAAAAGTACATTTAGGTGTACTTGATATAAACTTTTAAATGACATTAGTACAAGGTTCGAAAAAAGTACTGTCCTACCAGAAAAAGTACATATGGTCACCCTAAGTATAGTCTAATATTGTCGATTATAATTTGTTTTATTTTTTTCATCCAGAGGTAGCATGACGACGAGAGTAGTTTGGAGTATAATTGCAGGTGTTGTGTTATTTATTGTGACAGTTGCTTTAGCCATGATTGACACAAGTGGCTTTGCCTACGGGTTTTTCTGGATAACCATGATTACAGTTGTTCTTATGAATAGTAAGTGCTATTAGAATTTTTATGTCCTTATTCGTATAAAGATTCATACAATATTACACGGGTTCCTTAAGGCCCGTATCGTCAGTCATCCCTACAATTGTAGGGTGCCTTTATGGCCTCCTTGATTGTCATAGTTTTCTGCTTCTCCGTTTCAGAACTCTATTTTGAGGTTATGTCACAAATATCTATTTGCATCAAATTGTGCTTGCTTTTGAGTTATATCATGTTTTATCAGCCTGAAATTTCCTACAATTTAAAAAGAAAACATATCTTCACAATAGGAGAGCGCTGACGCTGACATGGGACAAGTGTAATCTAGAAATTTTTGAAGGAGAGAAAGGAGGATGACAATCAAGGAGGCCATAAACGCGCCTTACAATTGTAGGGACGACTGACGATACGGGCCTAAGTCAGGAATAAAAATTTGTCACGTTACTTACGGACCATCACGCAGACTTGTGTATCAAAATACCAGTGGGAAAGTTCACATTTCAAATTTGAATTACGCGTCAACCGTATACGCGGGGAAGTGGGGAGACGTCTTGATCGCCGTGTTCGGCGTGCGGGTTAAATAGTCACAATGGAACGTTGGACCGGAGCGCAACGTACTTTTACTATCGAGGCTTACTTTAAGAGTGGTGATTCATACGCAGCTGCCCTTCAGAAAATTTTGTACACGATACAACATTCGCCGACCAAGAGTTGTCCCAAGTAAGAACCTTGAAAAAGTGGATTGAGAGGTTCCGTGAAACAGGCTCTACTTTTGTAAGTGTTGTTACAAGCTAGAGCCCAAACGGTTTGATAGTTTATAACATTTGATAGAACAACTAAAGATCCATTCTTTTCAGTTACTGCAGTCGGAATTTTGTAGTTGCTTAATGAATGATTTCTATTTCTGCCCTATCCTATGTTCTTATTTGGTTATTAATTTATTCTCTGTTTACAGTGGCAAACGGAATCTACCAAAATACGATATACGGTATGGCCGCTAAACTACCTCCGCAATACACAGGAGCCGTTGTGCTCGGAAATAACATAAGCGGCACCTTCGCAGCAATTGTAAGCTTGGTCTCCAGCATGACTACGGACAACATCAGAATGGCCGCCATTTATTACTTTATTACGGCCCTGTTCGTGTTGCTTATATGCTTTGACACCTACTTTGCCTTACCTCTCAATGTAAGTAATTTTGCTTTGGAGTCACGAAGACTAGAAATAGGAGGTTAAACTCATAGAGTGGGCGCGAATCCGTAAGTCTCGACAATGAAGATGGGGCTTTCTCGTATGTACACTGAGCAAGAAATAAATTTCGGGTTCTGCTCACGTGGCATCTCTCTCATATCTAAATCTCTCTGTTGTTGTCATGATGGACGTAAACAACTTTGATGTTCAGACCAGTTAGAAACAGAAATATTGCTCAATAAGAATAAACCAGCAAAGCATGACAAATCGCAAGGGAATCATAATTTTGCGATGTACGTTATTTTCTCATCATTTTTGAACGGCTCCCTTGGCAGTTGGTATTATAATATATATATATATATATAAGTTATGTACCAGTCTACAGAGAAGAATATGCTGAACAAGGACTTTTGCCTCCACGTTCCTTTCTTATCAGTTACAGTATTGTATTTCATTTGTTCTTTACTTTGGTTTGTATAATGAACTTTGCAGTCAGTCTCGATTCAGAACTCATTCAATTAACATCATTGTATTTGGTCTTTCTCAAAAATAAATCTTTTTAAAAACGTTTTCGTTGAAGAAAGATATTTGAGTGGCGCAGCCAGTAGGATAGCCAGACGAAAAAAGGGACATTTTTCGGTTCGTTTCAACGGTTTACTGGCTATAACGAAACCAACCGCGATTGGTCGCGAACGATCCGACGGAATATCGATATCGTTACCGTGATCACCGGAACCAGATTTGGGATAGAACCCTACCCAAATCGAGAAACCAAGACGACAGCAGCCCAGAGGACAGAAGGAACATCTGCTCCAGGACAGGCAACCCAGCAGTGGCCCAGGCATACGGACACATGGGACGGATTGGATTACTACTGTAAGTACGAATGTCTTACAGGGGTGAAAACAATCAAAAGCTGTTTGATGATATATTGAGTGACACTGATTCGGACTCACAGTCGGATACGGAACATATCCAACATAGCTTAAGTAAATTGCAATTAAGACCTAGTATACTAAATAGTACAGTCAATATGAACAACAGTCAAGTAAATCAATCAAGCATGTCATTACGCCCAGAGTATCTTAACATGATACCCGAATTTTATGGTCAACAAGAATTATTACCAAGATTCATAGATATTTGCGAAAAGTTAGTGAATAAATTTTATAGATTAGAGGATGAAAATGACTTCCAGAACGAATATCTTATGAGTAGTATTTTAGCGAAAATCAAAGGTAATGCAGCTTTAAATATTAGTAGCAATATTATAAAAAATTGGACAGACTTGAAAACTGCACTTTTAAATACATATCAAGACAAGCGTGACGTATTTACTCTAAATATAGAAATGTGTGAATTGAAACAGAACAATGAAACCCCCTTTGAATTTTATAACAAAGTTCAGAGTTTATTGAATTTACAAATATCATTTTTAACTACACATTGTGTGAGTGAAGAAGCTCAGATAATATGTAATTTTTGCAAAAGCGTAGCATTAAGAGTATTTCTAAAAGGTTTAAAGGAACCTCTAGGATCGCTCATGAGGACGAAAAATCCTACAGACTTGAATGAAGCTCTGAATATATTAACTAACGACTTTCAGCTTGATCATAAGGTAGATAAACATAAAAATGTTAATCGAAATAATATGCATATGGCGAACTACCATATGAACAACAACTTTGGTAATTATAGGAATCAATACCAAGCGGTACAGCGTCCAGTATTACAAAGACAATTTAGTCCTAATAATGTACGACCAAATAATCCTAATCAGAATAGAACGAATTTTCACAATAATAACGTTTTTAGACCTAATCAGATCAATAATCTGCCAAGGCCTACTCCGATGAGTACATCCACTAGACAGACGTATCAGCAACCAAATTTTCAAGGTAGAAATTTTAACAGACCTGGTGTCAACGCAGAACAGGCTATGTTTAACTTGTGTGTACAAGACCAACCTGTTGTAGAATTTCCAAATGATGACAATTATGAATGCGCTTATTCTCAGAATAATTCTGACGATTTTTTAGGGCAAGAAGCCTCGGAACAGAGACAACCACAAGTCTCAACGGACCACCCAAGTCAATAGAAATTATGAGTTTAACCGACAAATGTAGCAAACTACCATACATTGTATTTCCGGAGTATAATCTCAAAGTATTGATTGACACTGGAAGTACAAGATCTTTCATACACCCTGAAATTGCGAAAAAATTATTTTCAAGACATATTCAAAAAGACCCATTCCAAATCACTTCAGCACATGGTTCATCTATCGAACAATATAGTATGACAATACCTTGTCCAAAGATTTTTAAGAATCCAAATATTCTCATGAAATTTCATTTATTTAAGTTTCACGAACATTTCCAATGCCTTTTAGGACTCGATAACCTGAAAGAGATATTGAATGCCAACATTGATTTGAGCAATGATCTTTTAGTCACACCCACAACAAGGATACCCATGCAATATCACGAGATTACAAAAAATTCTTCTAATGTTATCACTGTTCCACCTAGAACAGAACAGATAATTAAAGTTAACATAAAAAATTTAAAAAATGGTAATGCTATTATTCCATACAGAAAATTATCATGTTTAGAAATCCCTGAATGTATTATTACAGTGAAAAATCACGAAGCGATTTGCACAGTATTAAATTTATCTGAAGAACAGATTTCTCTTGACATATCTCGACCAATAGATGTAGAAAATTTTGAAAATTACGAAGTTTCAGAAAATTCTGATCCACCGAATATTAATTCTTTGAACTTTCAAAAATATAAATTTGATATTTCCAAAATTAGGACAGAGCATATGAACTCTGAAGAAAAAGATGCAATCACCAAGTTAGTAAAAGAGTATTCAGACATATTTCACATTGATGGTAATTACTTAACTTTTACGAGCAAAATTAAGCATCATATACGTACAAGCGATGAAATACCCATTTACACTAAATCATACAGATATCCTGAAATCCACCGAAAAGAGGTACAAAGACAAATACAATCAATGCTTGATCAAAAAATTATTAGAGAGAGCCATTCAGCGTGGTGCTCACCTATATGGATTGTTCCAAAAAAATTAGACGCATCGGGAAAGCAAAAATGGAGAATAGTCATTGATTATAGAAAATTGAATGAAAAAACATTGGGAGATCGTTATCCTCTTCCAAACATAACAGATTTGTTAGATAAATTAGGGCGATGCCAATATTTTTCAACATTAGACTTAGCTTCAGGTTTTCACCAAATAGAAATGGCAGAAGATGATATTCAAAAAACTGCATTTAATACAGAAAATGGACACTACGAGTTTACAAGAATGCCATTTGGACTAAAAAACGCGCCAGCGACTTTCCAGCGAGTAATGGATAACATACTGAGAGGTATTCAAAATGAAAAATGCTTAGTATATTTAGATGACATTATAATATTCAGTACTAGTTTACAGGAACATATTTCTCGACTTAGAGAAGTTTTTGAAAGGTTACGTCAGTCAAATTTTAAAATACAGTTAGACAAATCGGAATTTCTTAGAAAAGAAGTATCGTATTTAGGTCATGTTGTAACGGCTGATGGTGTGAAACCAAACCCCGATAAGATAAAGGCAATTACAGAATTTAAAATACCAAAAACTAGGAAGCAAATTAAAGGCTTTCTTGGACTTTTAGGTTATTACCGTAAGTTTATAAAAGATTTTGCGAAAATCACTAAGCCATTGACAATCAGATTGAAAAAAGATGCAATTATTAATCCCAATGACGCAGATTATATTAAATGTTTCGAATTATGCAAGACTTTATTGACAAACGATCCGATACTCCAATATCCGGATTTTTCCAAACCATTTTTGATAACTACGGATGCAAGTAATTATGCAATCGGCGCAATATTATCCCAAGGTAAATTAGGCTCAGATTTACCAATAGCGTACGCCTCACGAACATTAAGTGATTCAGAAACAAAGTACAGCACGACAGAAAAAGAACTTTTAAGTATCGTATATGCAGTAAAATATTTCAGACCTTATATTTTCGGACGTAAGTTTACTATTGTAACAGATCACAAAAGCCTCCAATGGTTATTTTCAGTTAGAGATGCTAGTTCAAAATTATTAAGATGGCGCTTAAGATTAGAAGAACATGATTTTGACATTGTTTACAGGAAAGGCAAATCAAACACAAATGCGGACTTTTTATCTAGAATAGAAGTAAATGTTAATGAAACAGGAGCACCGACTCCACTGGCACAATACATGAAAGAATTTAATAGAAATCTTGAAAATCAAGCAGGTCCATCGAATATTTCCAATATTCCCAATCAGACCGATAACTATTCGATCGCACCTCAACCCAATGATTTAGATAAAATTGATGAAAATGAAAATGATTCATCAGGACACACTGTTCATTCTAATATAGAAAATCCTACGATAAATATTCCAATTAGTGATACAGCAGTAAATTGTGCAAAAAATCAAATTATTATTTCCGAAGTAAACCTCGAACCAGCTGATCCAGTAATTAGTAATTAGTAATACATGTGAATAAACAGCGAATATCCGTTCAATTATCAAAGAACAATTTTGAAGCAGATACAATTAAATTTGTAAAAGAATTTATTGCACCAAAGGTAAAATATTGTTTATATTTTGAAGACCCAGTCTATGAAAAGTTCAGCGTAGTTCTTCAAACATATTTCAAAAATTCCCAAATAAATCTAGTAAAATGCACAAAGAAATTGATAGACGTTACAGATCAAAATGAGATTAAGGATATAATCAAGAATTATCACGAAGGTAAAACCAATCATCGAGGAATCGATGAAACTGACAAAAGAATAAAACAAATATATTATTGGCCGAATTTAAGAAACTCGATACAGACTTATATTAATGAGTGTGAAATCTGTCAGTTAACAAAATACGACAGACACCCGTTAAAACTTGAATATAATATTACGCCAACGCCTACGAAACCATTCCAAATTTTATACGTAGACACTATTTCTTTAGAAAATGCAAAATTTTTGACTATGACCGATTCATTTTCAAAGTACGGTCAGGCTTACATGTTGAACTCTGCCAATGGAGTAGAGGTAACAAATAAATTTATAAGATATTTTACACATCACTGTATACCAGATCAAATGATTTTCGACAATGGCACAGAATTAAAAAATTCAGTAGTCAAAGAACTTTTAGAATTGCATAAAGTCAAAATACATTTTATTAGTTCACAGCACCCAGAATCTAACGGAACCGTAGAACGTTTCCACTCAACGCTCATAGAACATTTAAGATTATTGAATAATCAGGTAGAGTACAAGAACGAACCTATAGAAACTAAGGTAAATTACGCTATTTTAGCTTATAATAACACAATACATTCTGTAACCAATCTTAAACCCTATGAAGTGATTACTGGTCATTTCAATACAGAATCACCTTTTAATATAGATATAGATAAGCAATTATTAAATAATTATTTACAGAATCATAAGGAAAAAATGAAATTAGTATATAGGAATTTAAATGAAAAGATATTACAGAATAAAGAAAAAGTTATAAATAAAGCAAATGAGAAACGTGAAGTTTTGCCTGATATTCCTAACAAGGTATATGTTAAGAATAAGCAGAAGCAACAGAAAACTAAAAATAAGTATAAGCAAGAAAAATTAATTAGTATAGATAAGAAATTAAAAAGAGCGGAGATAGATCCCACACATGCCAATACTTCTAAAAATATCCATTTATCCAATATTAAAAGGCCCAGGAAGAAAACTTATCAATTTAAATTTACTAATATTTCAGATACCTCATCTATTTCGGATGCGGAGCAGAAATAAGAAACATAACGAACAATTTAGGAATTTTGCCAGTAAATTTAGGCACAGCTAGGCTACAAAAGACAAAACATACTTTTGTACACTATTATGATCTATCACCTTTATATAAGGAATATGAAGATTTGAATATTCAATACAGTAATCTTAACTATAGTTATAGAAACCATTCTAAGATTAATAACGAGCTAGAAAATTATAGTAAGATAGTATCTTATATAAGGAGCTTGATTCAAGAGAAAATCGAATACATTAAATCTCATTCTCAAAAGACTCGCAATAAGAGAGGACTTTTGAATGGCATAGGCTATGTAGTAAAAACAATAACAGGAAATTTAGACTCCGACGATGGAGAACGTATTGATAAAATTTTATCTCATTTACAAGAAAATCAGCATCATATTCAAAATCAGCTGAGAATGCAATATTCATTAAACAATGAACTTGTCGCAAAATTTAACGGGACTATTCAAGATATACAGCACAATGAGATGACATTAAGAAATAACATTTTACAATTGAAACATATTTTATTGAACCAGACAACAAACCAGGATATTCTTTCAGCGAAGGACATTATCAATCAATTAATTATCCTTTATAATGCCATATTGAATATTTTACAAGATATCGAAAATTCGATAACTTTTTGCAAATTGAAAACCATGCATCCCAGTATAATAAGGACTAGAGAATTATTTCAAGAACTCCGTAAGATATCCACATTTTATAAAAATGAATTACAATTTGAAGTAAAGTATGAAAATATGCTAGATTATGAATCTATTATTTCTATCAGCTGTAAAATCGATCAGAATCAAATAAGTTATTTTCTATCTATTCCTATAGATTATCCTGAACATTTCGATCTTTATTATATGTTACCTCTACCGACTCTGATGCACAAATCAGAATTCGTCACTATTATCCCAAATTATAAGTATTTGCTAAAATCTGATCGAAATGAGATCAAACCCCTGCACGAGATTTGTATCCAAGGTAGAATCTATCAATGCCCTAATCGTATATTAGCCAATCACAAAGCCCAATGCGAGAAGTCAATAATTACTGAAGATCATACAGAACCATGTAGATACACGAAGCTTCAGATTGAAGAAAATCACATCGAATTTATTCCCGAAATTAACCAGTATTTAGCTGTATTTCTCACCGAAGAAAAATTGAAAATTAAATGCAAGGAGCAAATCGATACAAAGTCATTACTTGGCATTTTCTTAGTCAAAGCCAGTGAATGCCAAATATCATTCCAAGACAATGAACTCATCTTTCAAGACAAAACCTATGGAAAGCCCCTCGTAGCTGACAAAATGGATTTCCATTTTATGAAACAAAATACTCCAGAGACACAAATTACTCTGAAAACGTTAAATTTACCAGAATTACAAGTTAATCGAATGTTACCAATTTTAGAAGAAAATTCCATAGAAAATTTTGGAAAACCCAGTATTTGGACCATATTACTATATCTCGTATTTTCAAGCATCTGCTGCATAATTTTATATAGAAGATGGAGAAACAAGAAAGCATCCAAGTTAGAAATCGACATTGAATCAGCCGAGATGAAAGAAGAAGGTCCAAGTCCCACAAAACGCACTAGAAGAGAAGATTCCAGTTCAAGATATAAGAAGAAAGAAATTCACCTTCCAGGGGAAGCTTCATTCTAGGGGTGGAGGAGTTATGTACCAGTCTACAGAGAAGAATATGCTGAACAAGGACTTTTGCCTCCACGTTCCTTTCTTATCAGTTACAGTATTGTATTTCATTTGTTCTTTACTTTGGTTTGTATAATGAACTTTGCAGTCAGTCTCGATTCAGAACTCATTCAATTAACATCATTGTATTTGGTCTTTCTCAAAAATAAATCTTTTTAAAAACGTTTTCGTTGAAGAAAGATATTTGAGTTATATATATATATATATATATCGTTATCTGTTTGCGGCAGTTTTGCACGTTCAATTTTAAAAACTGTTCGACACTTCATCTTTTTGCATGACATGAACTTGTAGAGGATCTGCACCTGAGCACGAGCACGTGGTTATGAAAAATGATATATAATATGTCAGATAATGAGATTAAAGTGTTTTTGGCCCATATTATAACACAGCGCACAAACCACGTCCACTGAAGACGGCTACCGCAGATGTAGCCGAAAGCTCTGGATCAAATCCAACCCGACCACGGCTCAACAGCCCGAAAAACCTAAATGTCACAATATTCTTTATTGTCATATGTCCGGTTTATATTTGATTTACCCTCGTTCATAATTCTCACAATAGTGCAAAATTTAATTTAGAATTTGGGAAAACATAAAATTTGATTTTAATGTAGGAATAACCAGCCTGTGCCTCTGCCCCATTAACTGCAGATGAGTTAAATAGGAAAAAAAACTGTGGCAGACATTGCTGAAACCATAAAACCCATCAGATAAATAAATCCAAATCTTCTCGATCTATATAAAGTAGGCTATGTTAACATTTTTGGCATGTACCCGTATAAATGCGCAGACGAGCACGATGCCCTCCTTACCGATAGTATTAGCCTCATAGGGATGCTTGTCTTCCCTTTAACAGTTTAACCTCATATCTTTAGTCTTCTTGTTTAGATTTAACATGCCTAAAATTTATCTATATCCCAGTTACGTCACGTCAAAATAAAATCAGTGCGTGTTCTTCCAAAGAGGGATGCCAGGAATAGTGCTTTTGCCGAGAGAGCACACAGAAAACTGGGACATAAATGCCCATTCACTCTCTTACGCGAAAGCTGTTACGTAAAGCCGTTTGAATGGACGAAGGCAATTTTGGAATAGTATTGCCATTGCACACGGTCGGTCATGAAGATATTCCACATCTAACTTGATTCCCTATTCCCTAATTTGACAAATTGCACAAATCGGAAAACATTTGGTCTGTTACCACCATTGATTGATATTGATACAGTCCTACTTATTTTGTTGGCTATCATTTCATTGCTGATAAAAAGCCTAAATCATAGGAAACCAGTAATTATGGTAAGTCACAATACCATCAAGAGCCAAATAAATTGACTGTGATTCTGTGGTCACCCCAGTAGACCAGTATTTTTTCAAAAATGTCAATATTCTGGATTCTAATTCCAGTAAAGTCTTGTGTTTGGTGCTATTATGTTAAAGATTGAAATAAACAATCTAATATTTTTAATAATTTTTTTTATAATGTGTTTTTCTTATCTCATTGAATAATATTATTTTCAGAGATTTTACAGGCACTTCGAACTGAAGGATAAAACGCAGCAACAAAAAGCGTCAAAGTCTGGAATCAAAGAAAAGCCACCCTATTGGGAAATTTTTAAGAAATCATTTCCTCAATTGGCCAATGTATTTATGGTGTTTTTCGTTACTTTGGCCGTCTTTCCAGCTGTGTATGCTGGTAAGTAATTAGTAATAGTCACTAAAATGTGTCATTGGGCATACTTATTAAGTAAAGAACTACAATCGTTTGCAAGATTCGCACTACCTACTACTGGAATAGTTCACATGCAACGACCGTAAATATCCATAGTCATCGAGGGGAAGCGAAGCGAAACGATAGAAGGGAAGAGACATATGCAAATGACATACAGCAGCGGACAAAAGTTTGGAAACAAATATTAACATTATTATGAACTATTTCGTATAACTAAATTAAAATTGTGAAAGAACAGATAATATAAATATTAAAGTCTACCTTTGGGTCCCGTAGTAATGCAAGGTTTATCTTATCAATATTCAAATTCTCTGAAAATAAAAAACGCGTTTTCTTTAAAATACCACAGTGTTTGTAACGACAAAAGTATGGAAACATTTCAGTTTTGCCGTGCGGTAAATATTAACATCAGTGAGAATGGCAAAAGTAAAAGAATTTTCAAAAGTTTTAAGAGACAAAGTGATTGAATTATATAGAACTGGTGTCAGAAATGTTGACATTTCTCAAAGACTAAAAATGAACAAAGGGACAATTTCGAAAATTATTAGTAAATATCAAGAAAACCGATTATGTTTTGGATCGCGACATTAAACGTTTGTCCCATGAAGATCCTCGAATGCCAGCCACACAGATTTTCAAGAACATCGTAGAAGAGGGTGCCGAGAACATTTCTGTCAAAACAGTGCAGAGACGCTTGGTGGATTTTGGGCTTTTTGGTAGGCGTCCAGTGCAAGAGCCTCTCATTTAAAAAAAAATCGTATTCCTCGGCTTGAATTTTATTTAGTTCAACCTCTTTGTTCAACCTTGCTTGAAGAATGGGAATAACATATAAATTTGATGTTTTTTTATTGTAATGTGGTGATATACACTGAAAAAAAAATTTGTCTGATGGCTTCACTTCAATACATACGACAGAGAAGTGTGTATAGACACATATGTTTGAAACAGATAGGAGCCGGCTGTATAGCGTAGCTCATCACCGCGTTGTCTACGCTCACGCGTTAGTTTATTCTCTACGCCCAAATAATGGTTTTATTTTGAGCGTGCACATTTTTGAATTGTAAAGAATCTGTTTAGGATTAATTCCCGATCAGTCCTAACGGCGCGGCGGTCCATTCTAGGTCAGAATCGCCACATTGCATCATTAGTTTGCTTGGCAACACCGCATCTCGAACATTCCAAAGCATGGTTTCTACCTCCATGATCATAGGTGAGCAATTTTGGTCGGTACCCATCTACCGCTCATTGAGGAGCGTCGTCCTGCTTCGAAATGGTTTTTACCTGCGTACACGCAGGCAGTCATAATTTGTATTGCGTAAAAGGACTGCTCGCTGTCGCAACAAAAATTCAGGATGTGCTGATCCACCATCGGTGGAAACTGAAGAATTCTAAAATAAATTGATCCAAAATTGAAATAGTTAATTCTAATCAAAATGAAAACAAAATCTCATAAAATGTTCAAACTCCTTGAGTTTGACATTAACCTAACCTATTGTAGAAGCCTGGACAAACATTTTCTGGTGTAAAATATTGGCAACGCGGCAGATTGCACGACCTTCTATGTCACTGTTGCTAGACGATGTGGTGATGACCTTCGCTCTTCAGCCGTCTTCTATCTCTTTCTAACACGTGTTGATTACTACTCGCGCTTCTCTCTCGTACACATAAACCTCAAGCCGTCAAACAAATTTGGTTTTCCCTGAATGTTCAAATTTGTTGTTAGTGTTGCAACTGTACCGTAAACAACAGTTTTGTAGAAGCTCAACCTTATGTTTCAAGTTAACAGTTAAATATGGGCAATAAACACTTAAAGGTTAGGTTTTTCTGACTTATATAGGTATATAGGATCCATCCCTGAACGAGCCACATATCACTGATCACCATAAATGTAAAATAACAAAGATCCCTTACATTATGAAGCATACTTTTGGAACAAAATGTGAAAGAAGAAATATGACTAAACAGAATGATCGCATTCAGCTGCATTTTCTGTAGTAACGGTCAAGTGCCCAGGTTCATTCTTATTTGATCAGCCAATGTGCAAATATTATAAATTATGTATACATAATGGGTTCGGCGGGGGTCAGCAACGTGGCTGCTATCTCTGGAGCACTCATAGGCACAAGAGTTGATTAACATTGCAAGGTATGAAGGAAAATTCCACCGCACGTTGCAGGCTGTTTACTACCCACGATTGGGCTACTAGTGCAGTGTCGTTGGGACAAGGGACGTCATGTATATAAAGTGAATAAAGGATTGATCCTAAGACCGAACCCTGTGGAATACAGACTCTTACATTGTGACAAAACATTGTCAATTTTGATCCGAAACTTCCTTCATTCTATAAAAGATTTTAACAGTTTTAGTAGCGTATCACGTTTGACACGAGCAAATGACAAATGTCGCTGTGGTGCATTTCGCCTCGCTTCTCCTCAACATTTATATTTTACTAGTAGTTTAAGAAGAATAACATTATTATTGTTTGTTATTTATATTTCATAACCCTAAACAATTATTTTTGTAGATGTGAAACCTGTATCTAAAGATTTTCCTATTCAAAAGTATTTCGCATCAGTTACGTGTTTTATTACATTCAACATTATGGCTATGCTGGGCAGTTTACTACCAAGTCTTGTTATATGGGTAAGTATCAAATTATTCATTATTTTTACGGTGAAAGGCAAACTAGTGTATGGACAAACAACGGCATCTGAGATAACTGCGTGATTAGTTGTCCCTCAGGAGGGTCATTTTTGTCTCCGCTCCTGTTAAATTGTTTTATAAATGAAGTGACTGATTGTGTCAGAAGTTGTGATATTCTGCTGTATTCTGATGACCTGAAAATTATCAAAGTAATTTCGCAGCCAACTGACTGTGAGAAACTTCAAGAAGACATTTGTTCTTACATTGAAGAATTTTGGATTATGCTTGTTCAGTTTGGTCACCTTACTATAAAATTCATATAAATGCAATAGAGCGCATACAAAAGAAGTTTTTAAGGTACATAGCTTATAAACTGAAAATACCATCAGAACGTATTAATTATGTTGACTTGAATAATTTATTAAGTATGACTTCTCTGATTCTAATTATGCCATCTTGTAGAGAAGAAAAAGTTGCTACGTTAATGTGCAAGTTATTTTGAAATCCCACTACAAATAAAGTCAAGAAAAAATTGATACGATTTTGGGAAAATTCTATTTTTTCTGTCTGTCTCCAGAAGTACTTTAAATTTCGAAACTTTCTACGCGACATTTTGTTGATTACCTAAATACTCAATTTTGCCCCCATTTAAGCGACTTCGTATCTCTTACAGTTTCCGAGATCCCAAATGGTGAGGGTCGAATTTGAAACACCCAGTATATGTTGCTAGGTAAACTTGCCCTTTATTGCCTGACCTTGAGGATACCCTGAATATTTGTCAGATTCATCCATATACCGTACTAATAATTGCAAAGATCAAATGATGCCGTATCGTATACGGTCGGTCACAGATAGGGAAAGCAAACAGCGGAATGTTTCTTTGTGCATTTATGACTCAATTCTTTTTAGCCGGCGCCCAAATGGTTATGGATTCCTGTAGTATTGCGGTTCGCATATATACCATTCTTCTTGTTATGCAACTACCAAGTGGTTGGTGTAGAGCGTGTAATGCCAGTGCTAATCAAGAATGATTGGGCTTATTGGGTAATTTCCAGCACAATGGGATTCACCAGCGGATATTGGAGTTCGTTGGCGATGATGTACACACCAAGGTTTGTATACAATTCTCCCGATGTACATTTTTATTTATACTTTATGGTCCTTTTTTTCTGTTTTAGTGGTTTAGTAGTTTTAGTACTCGATTGTACTTACAAACTCAAAGTTCGCAGTTTTGGCATTTTGTCCAAAATTCGCTCATTTCCGAATATTTAATTTAAATTTTTTTACGAGGCGCAATACTTCCTACTGTAAATCTATAATAAAAAACATTGAGACAGAAAACGTATATAAATACGAAAGTTGATGTAACATCTGAAACTTATCCTGTGGTTTACATGTCGATAATCAGTACAATGACATATATTTGATTTATGTCTTCCAGGTGACAGTTCGTTTGTTTTTTTTTATTCTCACAATCCTATACAGTGTGTTACTACAATAGCCTGAAAGTCCTGTAAGATGCTGATATTGCGCGAGGTCATCATTACGAATTTTTAAGATGACAGAACGCAAAACCGCCATAGCTCAGGACCGCCTGGGGTAGGCATGCCCGTTCCTAAAAAAGACGTCCAGCCTCCAACACGACAAACAGGTATAAAACCATCTGCAGTTTTTTAATATATCGGATACGTTACCCTCGTCCATCGCTCCGAAAACACCAAAAGCCTTAAAAAAGAACGCAAAAACCCATCCGGAAGCATGACATGCTGACAGTTTGAACAGCATTCTGGGAGTTGCTAGAAATTGCTTGGATAATTTATGATATGTTACTCACCTGAGTGAAATATGTTTTTTTGCTTCTTTTTCTTGTTTGTTTTTTTCTTTAGATGTTTTCTGTTCTTGTTATTTTGATTTATCTTAGGATTGTCCTGTAAATGGTTTCCTTAACTGTTGGGCAATAAACGCTATTTATTTATTATTTATTGGGTGAAAGGACATATTGGCATACAAGGTAATGAAATGTCTGCAAAACCACTGTACAGAGACTTACTTAGTTTATACAAGACAAACGTAATTTCGGAGTGGAAAACTATTTGGATTGAAATCTGTCAATAAAGTAATAGCAACTACTATTTACTACATAAAACCCACCTGAATACCGCACATTTTCAATAAAAAGTGCATTGCCACATAAACCAGAATAAAAGTCCACCATGGAAATTCACCAGCACACCTTCACAAAATAAGATCAAGAGGGTCGCCCCTCTATGAGGTAGTGGCTGATCTTAATCATCTGATTCTGTCATGCAGTACCTATATATAAGACTGCTATAGATAAGCTCATAACACTCGTAATCCACTCGGGACATCATTTACAGAGGAGGATATAATTTTAGTTTCATAGATCTTTGTGGCAAAAATACCTGCCAACTCCTTGAAAAATAGAAGTGTCACCCGGAAGAAAATATATTATCAAAGTCATTGTACTGAAGACGGTCACCGTTGTGGCCGAAACGTTTACAATATAGTATATTTTTCCAACACATGTGGTTTCGATTGGCCAGAGAAGTATGGTGGACCACAGGATAAATTTTAGATGTTACATTGATAAAAATGACATTCAATTATTTTTTAACATCCCTATTTTAATTTTGTTTAATTTACAGGCAAGTGGAAGACCGCCACGCCCCGATGGCAGGCATGTTCGCAGCGGCCGCCTTGATCACGGGCATATTCACTGGCATCCTGATCACGTTCTTGTGGCCATGGGTCATCGGCCACGTGGGCTAGCACAAATGCGTGGTGTATGACCCCGACGCCACTGGTGGCCCGCCAGGCGAGTTCGTCATACGTTTCAGTCTGTGAGACGTACGTCACTGGTACCGCTAGATGTCGCGGATGGTCATATACCCTTGTTGGATACTGAAGATGGGAGGGGTCGATGTTTTTATATGCAATCATAGATCTTCCACGAGAAGCAGATAAAGTCAGATTCACTTTGGATTTATATATTTTTAGTCCGAGATTTGTATTTCTGTGTCCAGGAAATGAGGTGTGTGTGAGAAAATTTGTAGGAGTATGTTGGAGCGACCAGTTAGTAGTAGTGATCACTTGTGTTTTTGGTCAGTAGGCAACTTGACCTACAGGATAGGGTTATTTCGGGATTGGACAGTTGATGGCGAGTAAAGCAAAGACACATTTCATTTTGAACGAAAGAGATATAAGCGATATAGTGTTTGAAAAAGGGCGGAATATATCCCACTTTTGACCCTGAAAAACATTAAAAAATACGAAATTTTTGATGTAAACAAATATTTGACACAAATTTGTGACAGGCAACATCCAGATTTGCTAAAAGAGTCCTTTTTTGAATAAAATCTTGCAAAAAATCCGAATCAGAATTGTTTCCCATCAGATGCGAAGATATTGACCGGACTATTTTCATATTTTTAAATATGAACATATTTGTTTGGAGATATTTAGGAACAATAGCAACATCAAAATTCTCGTTTCTTCATATTGTTTTTCTGGGTCGAAATACTGTAGCGCTCATATGTCGAAAACTATCAACTTTAGATAAAGTTCTAAATTACCTGTTTTGTTCAGAATGTCCCAAAAACTTAAACACGCGTTGTCAGAGAGAAACAAACTATTTTTCGGATTTGATTAAAAGATATTCTTAAACAAATATTTAACACAAATTTGTGGCAGGCAACATCCAGATTTGTTGAAACAGTCTGTTTTTGAATAAAACCTTTCAAAGAATCCGAATCAGAATTTATTTCTCAGGAGATGTGAAGATATTAACCGGACTATTTTTATATTTTTGAATACGAACATATTTGTTTGGAGATATTTAGGAACAATGGCGATTATTAAAATTCTCGTTTCTTCATATTGTTTTTCGGGGTCGAAATACAGTAGCGCTTTTATCTCGAAAACTTTAGATGAAAGTTCTAAATTACCTTTTTTGTTCAGAATGTCCCAAAAACCTAAACACACGTTGCCAGAGAGAAAAGATATTCTCAAACAAATATTTGACACAAATTTGCGGCAGGCAACATCCAGATTTGTTAAAAGCGTCCTTTTTTGAGTAAAACCTTGCAAAAAATCCGAATCAGAATTTTTTCCCATCAGATTTCAAGATATTAGCCGGACTATCTTTATATTTTTAAATACAAACATATTTGTTTGAAGATATTTAGGAACTATGGCAATATCAAAATTCTCGTTTCTTCATATTGTTTTTCGATGTCGAAATACTTGTATCTCGAAAACTATCAACTTTAAGTTCTAAATTACCTGTTCTGTTCAGAATGTCCCAAAAACCTAAACACGCGTTACCAGAGAGGAAAACTATTTTTTGGGATTTGATTAAAAGATATTCTTAAACAAATATTTGACAAATTTGTGGCAGGCAACATCCAGATTTGTTAAAAGAGTTCTTTTTTGGATAAATCCAAATCAGAATTTTTTTCCATCAGATGCTGAGATATTGCCCTTGACTATTTTTATATTTTTAAATACGAACGTATTTGCCCAGTAGATTTTTTTATTGTTGTACAGACCTATCAAGAGCCACAATGTATCAACCAATTAATAGTAGCTTGGATTATTTATTTTACTCGGCTTTTGCTGTCCAAAAAGAAAGCTCTATTTCTAGTACATTGACATGCATCGTGCATGCAAAATCTCGGTTTTATTATAATTCGTATGACGCAATACTCTGGACGAATTCTCTATTACGCAGAACTAGATCTCACCTCAGATATCATATTTGAACCACGATACATTAAATAGTTTCTAAAATGTTGATGAAAAAATATCTTGATCTTGGTCCCCATTTTTTGCCTGGAGGATCAATAGGTTTCTTTGATTGGTTTTCTATAGATAAAACCATGTTGTATAGACAAAAACAAACGAAGAAACCGGTTGATCCTTCATGTATATAAAACCAATACAGAGAGGCCTATTGGTCCAACTGACAGACTACCATTTAAAGGGCATATAAAAAAAGTATTAACTTCAAAACAAGTCAAAATAACCACAGCCTGGCAAAGACAAAAAAATAGTCTGGAAAACAAAGCTTTTACAAAAAAAAATCTCATTGAGCACTGACTTTGGCGGTTATTAAAGGAATTTTATTTTATGATCAAACCTATTTTTTACTAAATTTTGCGCCATTCTGAAGTACTTGTTTATCTTTATGTGGGCACTATTACTAATGGGAAATATGTCACCTCAAAACTACCTATAAACTATATCGAGAGTGAATCTACTGAATAGATCATGTAATGATTTTTCTTTTATCATGGAACCCCTTCATTTTATGCATACCATGACCGACTGAATTAAAATATTCGTTTTTCTAGTTTTAGTATTTCTGAGTACTGTGGATGTAGAAAATTTTGTTTCAGAACTTGAACATGAATACTAATACAATAATGCTTTGGAAAATCTGATAAAATCTCGAACATTAATGATTAAAAAAATGGCGTATGAGTCAATAATTTCCTACATCATAGTACTCTGTGTTTTTATTCTAGTTTAATAACCAATAATAGATACTGTTTTATATGATCGAATTAATAAATTGTTTTTATATTTTGTGTTTGTACCAAAAACGTCTGTTATTCAGTCGATTGTTATAGTTCTTATTTCATGATTATACTCTTATAAACAAATAAATATAATGGAATTTCAACAACTTGGGAGCATTTAAAACTTGAAACTTAGTAAGTAAAACTTTTATCAGGGTCATAGTTATACAGAACATCTCATAACATTAATCCCACTTATACGAGGCATGTTTTTAAAGTAAGTACCGTTTTGACCTAAAAAAACAACAAGTAAATTTTGTCCAAAAATGATTTATTCACTTGAAAGGCCATACTTTCCTCTACTTTTCTACGTAATTCCCATTACGATTGAGGCATTTATCGTATCTTGGGACCAGCTTTTGTATGCCATCGTCAAAGAAGCTTGCCGCCTGAGTAAACAACCACTGCTGTACATTTTTGGCACTCAGCGTGAACACAATTTCCGATAATTTAAACGTTCGGACACAATTCGTAAAGAACGCTTCTTGAGACAGCAGGAAACTGTTCAGCTAAGGACGAAATCCTGAATCGTCTGTTCTTTCTCACTTTACAGTCCACTTTTTGAATCAGGTCATCGGTAATGACTGAAGGTCTTCCTCATCTTTAAAGGCCCTAACCCATTTCCGCACCATTCCATCACTCATAATGTTTTCACCATACATTTCACTGACTTGGTGACGGATTTCAACTGATTTGAAGCCTTGTGCACAGGGAAACCGTATTACAGCACGCACTTCGCAGGCGGCGGGATTCTCAATCGGTGGAGGCATTTTAAAATCACGCAAACAGGTGTAGACTCGATCGGATGGTTCCGTAACGGCGTCTGTCGCTACCCAACAGATGTAGCTACACGACGCGCGTGCGCTAAACGGCGACCGCAGCGCTGCGGCGGCGTAATTTAAAAACGGTACTTACTTTAAAAACACGCCTCGTATCTTTTACGACATTATGAGGAAAAATTATAAAACAATAATGTAATCAAGTGGCTATGAAAATAGTAAGTTGGAAAGTAGCTGACATTTTGGAAGAGGTATGTGAATCTCTGCGTTATAAGTGCGTTTGGATGTTATATAGAGTGATTCAGAAAACAATACGAGAGGGTCATATAAATATGGGTTCTCAAATGCCTCCTCATGAGGTGTTCATGTTATAATTTAGAAATCGAAAAAATATATCTTCGGTGTTAAAATTTTGCACATGTAGTACTAACAGCATAGTCGTTACATAAAAAAATCTAGGGGGATAGAAATTTGACCCCTACAGAAAAATGGTTTGAATATTTGATGAAAATAACGCTATAGTCTAATTTGAGCCATATAGATGGTTTGTCCTTATTCAGTCTCGTCAGTGGCGTAGAAATTTACAAGACCCTGTATTTTAGGAACAAGACAATTTAGTACATATTATGATCATAGGGAATTTGTTATTTTTGGATGTGTGTTCTGTCCTAGAGAGATTGTCATTGTTTTTTTTTGGATCATCCTATATAACTTGCCACTAAACACTATTCAATGTAAATGACAAGACTGATAAGTGGGATCGAAGGTTGTGGAAACGACAGAGTGTAAGAAGGTATTGGATAAAATTAAAATATATTTTGTCTCAAAACACCTCTCAAAGTTTCTGGCAAAATGTTATGAGCAATGGTTTTGGGCATTATTTGAAAAGGAGTGGCAAAGAAGGTAAACACGTACGTATGTTTATCCGATTTTAATAATTTTTGGCATATATGTTCAGTGAAGCTTCAGCTTGATTCGTCAACTGACCGCAGAAGCTGTCTCAATAATGTGTTGAGGATCCACGATTTCTTATACACTCATTGACTCGTCTGGGCATCGTGCTGATAAGGTGGTCGATATCCTATTGGGGTATTGGGGCAACTGCAACTTCGTGAGTAAGAGCTGCTAAAGTATGTGGAGGCAGTGGCGTAGCCAGAAACTTCGTTCGGGGGGGCCCGGGATTTTTTTTTTTAAAACGGTAAGGAATAGATGGCTTAAATCCATTTTAACACTGCATAATCGAAAAAACTTCTTAGAAATTCAGGTTTTCTTAATATTTTTATTTATTTTATGATGAACAAAAGTAGAAATTCTGTTTTAACTAAATAAACATAAAAATAGTGCTGTAACTTATCCGGAGCTTTAAACTTTTTAAAAACCATAAGTAATGCTGGAAAAACAACAGATGTAGAGCATTTTAGTTAGAATGTCTTTATAACATTCTAAGATTAGTCGAATGAATAAATTAACAAAATGATGCCCTAAGTTACAGCACTAATCTCCTATTTCCATATCTGGCCATTTCATCGATAACTTCGTCACTGTTGATTGGAGCTGGATAGTGAATTGACAGAAGAGCAAGCCCATTTAATCGTTGGTCATTCATGGAATTCCTCAGATAGCTCTTAATTCTTTTGAGAGATGAAAATGATCTCTCTACTTCTGCTGTTGAAACTGGTAATGTAGCAAGCACCTACAATAGAAAAGTTATTTGTTGTAAGTTCTATTTGATCTCTCTTAGTTTTGGCTAGAAATCAGTTGGGGATTATTAAATGTTTTCCCGTTTTATTTTCGATCAATATTTCATTTCACTATTTGTCGTTATAAATCGTCTTGATTTGAATATTTTTCAATAATGTAAAAAAGTACTAAAATAAACTTATACATGCCTACTTAGTTGTATAATAATAAATAGTTACCTGGAGCAAATATTTGATAGCAGGGTAGAAGCTTTTATCGCAGGCATCTAGAACCGACATGATTTTCTTAGGAATTTCAGATTCTTGTATATTTTTCCATTTTGTATTCCACAGCATATACTCTGCCTCGACCTCACAATCAGACCGCTGACTATCGTAGAACAGCTTCAGTGTTTTCAGTTTGTGAATGTTTGTTTCTTTTACATTCTTTGGGAGTAAACAATCTAGAGCTTCCAAAATATCTGTTTTTCCCAAACCGCTCAACCAAATTAGAAATCAATGAATCTACACATGGTATGAATATTGATCGACGATAATATTCTTCAGGAGTAGAGTAAGGGGGGTTGTCTCTTTTAGTTTGCTTCCCCACTAGCCGGGGCACAACAATTGCTGTTCTAAAATTATCTTGAGACATTTTTTCAGCCTTTTCAAATAACCGATGGAATTGCCTGATATCACTGCTGTCTTCATTTTCGGATGGTTTACGCAAATCCTTCAGACGTTCAACCGTGTCATCAGCAAATTTTAGGGCAGATGACAGGTCACTCTCAGGTTTCTGGAGATATTTTGAAAGAGGAAGGGTGATGCTGAATATGAATTCACACACCACCATTGCAACGAGAAAACTTCCTTTTTCGATAGAGGCTAGAAGATTGGCAGCTGAAGACGATATTGCTCTATTGGACGTAGATAACTCTTCCAAAGTAGCAACTATGGCTGGAAATACTTCGACAAATGTATGGACAGAATCTTGTCTTTCGATGAATCTCGTATCACACAGGCGAAGGAGGCGGCTTTTTTGAGTTTCTGGCACAAGATTCTCAATATACCTCTTTAGAATATCACCGCTTTGAGTATTATTTCTCATCATATTGGCCACTTCATTTATAGTTCCCAAACAATTCCTTATGTAAGGCATGTCTAAGGAGTCACTCAACACCAAATTTAGACGATGTGCAACACAGTGCACATAAACAGCTTTGGGGTGTGATTCCCGAAATCTTTGATGTACGCCAGACAAATGTCCACTAAACGTTGAACAACCATCGTACCCTTGACCAATGACTTTATCCATGTTGAGACCTACACTTGCACAAATTGTTAAAATAGTTTCACAAATGCTTTCAGCAGACAAATCTGTTATGTGGGTGAATGCAATGAAATCTTCTTTAAGGATCGGTTTGTTTTCATTCAAAATGTACCGAATGCAAAGTGAAAACTGCTCTTTCCCAGACACATCAAGCGTTTCATCTCCTAAAATGGAAAAACACTCTGGCACTGTTTACAGACTGAACCACTTTTTTCTGTATAAGTTTTCCACAAATGACAATAATCTCATTCTGGATTTCAAGGCTTATATAGGTTGCATTTCGTGCAGAGTTAAAAATGTGTTTTTTAAAACTTTCATCGGTGACTGCCCGGTACCTGAGTAAGGCTCGAAATTTGCCCTCCTTTTCTAAAGGTTTTTCGGGCGTCAGTGGCCCACTGTCCCGATGTCCCCGAAGAGGTATTTCATTTTCTCCACATAATATAATTGTCAATTATAGGCTTGAGTGAAGCTCTGTTTTGTTCTCTTTCTTTTCTCTTCTGCGAATCCAACATCACTGTGATATCTTCCATTCGGCCAGAGTCGACCTTCATAAAGTTTTCTGCAGCTAGACAAGAAAATTTGTGGTACTCAGAGTTGCTGTGAGAGGTGAATTTATCTATTGCGTCTTTCCACTTTCTAAAAGGCATGGTTACTAAGGCTCCCAATTTTTGGTGTTGGCCTTTACCAGTGAACTCATTGGCAAATAACACACAAAACTTGCAGTAAGTTCCATCCTTAGCCTTAGAATAAGCCAGCCAATTAAACCTTTTTAGCCAGGTCCTCTGAAACTTTAATTTTTTATTGTTGATCACGGTTACTGGAAAGCTAAAATTCTCATCCGGATAACATAAGTCATTCAGCACTTTACTTTTCAAATCCGTAGTTTTACCAAATCTGGTTGTGGAGTGGAATAAATGGTCGGAAACTATGCCAATATCTACAGAGGTTAGGCCAATGCTTACTTGGGAATCTGTAGGCCTACTATTTCTGGATTGGTCACAAGACGATGAACAACATGGATCTGGAGTCAACGTAATGCTTTCTTCTTCTATCGAGCCAATAGTGGTTCCTTCTATTTTTCGTGGCAACAGCGGAACTAACACTTTGTCACTTGATTCCGGGTCCGTTTTTAAGGTTTTTGGTTTAAAAAACTGATCTATGGTTCTCTTACTCATTTTTAAAAGAAGCTGTAGTGAAGATTACAATATAAACTTGAGTCATTAGCGTGAACCAAACATCAAAAGAGCAACACTCGTCGGCTCATCACGTCACTGTCTACCTTATCCGCCCACATGCAAAGCTTCAACTGTACCGTAAAGGCGGACAGCGGAACAGCGCCGGCGCGGCAGTCGCTCAGTAGCGGTTCCACTAGTGTTTGACCGCAGGCGCGGCTGCCGTGAGAGCTAGACAGTCGAAACTTTTGAATGTGTTGATATTTCGGGGGGTCCGGACCCCCCGGACCCCCCCTCTCGCTACGCCACTGTCCTAGAAACCTCCATTATCGATAGTCCGGCTTCACGCGAATTCCACGCAGTCTAGGCATTTTGAGCAATCACAAAAAGACTTCTCAATAAACTGCACGAAATTTAACACTTAACAGGCTCCGTAAATGTACGAAAACTGAATTCTTTATCGGCAGACATACACGCAGCCACCACAAAAACTTAACAGAAAAACTTGACCATTTTGTCACTTGTTGTTCATTGCAAGATAAATCGATTTGTAAAAATTCTTGAATTATAATAAACATAGGAGTTTACCTTTTTTTGCCACTCAGAATATGTTATGTTTTGAGGATATCATGATGGTTACGAAGATACACTGAGAAAAAATTGGACTAAACGCTACAACGATTCACAAAATGATGAAAATCTGCTATACTTATCAATGAAATAACAAGCAAATTGTCTTCTTTTAATTGGGCATCTACTGATGAAAATGTTTTTCTTTCTAATCTCGATTGGAAATCATGATTTTCCGCATGGTATCTTCGTTATCATAAGGGAACATCTACTAATGAGTTGTACTGTATATAGTGTAGTTCATCATAGCTATAATGTATGGAACATAACGATAAGCTTTATCATTACAAAACTACTCATATACTGACAATCACCAAGATTTGATTGTGGAACTACAGTAAAACAAGTTTTACTTTCCCTGTCCATTATAAGTTGCTTTTCTCTTATTTATTTCTAGGGTAATGAATTGATAAAACAGAGTAAAATCCTATAACTTGCAAGTAGATAGAATAATATGAATTCTAGTGGATAGCTGAGTACAAAAAATTCTGTACAGATTATTGTTGAGCTTATAATAGGCCCAGTAAATTTTTTGTCTTCACATTTGTCCACTATGCTAGTGATAAGGAAAATGTATGTAACAGGACTGTATAAATATAGAGGGAAAACAAAAATTACATTTTTATAAAGTATATATACACATTTATTACTGTTAAATCTAAAACTTGTAACCCTTGAATGACTGTTTTAGGTCGGATGGCAGCTGAAAAAAGCATGCCAAAAATAATTTTATTTGAGATCCGAAAATACTACTTTTGTCGGCGAACCAGCCGTTTATTAACAAGTTTTTGATTTTGTCCAATTTTACTTGATCATTTCTGGAAGTGCATACAACTTGTCATCTGGTAGACACAACCTGAAATGTGTATATTTACGTTCTTGCACAAATAAATGACTGATTATTATAGTATATAATGTTAGACTCTTCATAGCAGAGTACATATTCATTTTAAGACAATTTTATAATTTGTTGCTTTCATATATTCGAAAGTGAAAGACCCTATACTTTCTGTTAATGCTTTAGATACACCTGAATGTATAGAGTACCACGATCTATACCATTATATTTATTTCTTTTATTCAATTTTAGTCAATAAACTAATTGTTTTACATAAGCGTTTATCCTCATTACATGTTTCCCATGCCTGTCTAGCGTCTACCTGTTCAACAATAACTATTTGCGTTTATCAGAATTTGACACTACTCGGATATAATCATTGGACCTTCAATAACTTGCAAAGTAACACTGGATTTTGGAGAAATTTTGAAAGGCCAGTCTAATGGTACCAGTATTATTTCTATGTCATGTGTCGCGCACATCACTTTGTGTATCGATGGTAGCTGGTGTTATGTGACGTCATCACTCACTCTCATGCTCCAACAAGATAATTCTACAAATAAGATACTTCTGGTTGCGTAACTCTGTCATTTTTCAATATACTCAAAAAAAATTGTTCAGTGCTGTTCTTCAGTTTACTGACATTATCATTTGAAGCGTGTTTTTTAAAAAAAAGTAATAAAAACAGACGGTTCTTCCGCTGTGCTAGAGCTTCGGTTCTGGAATAGCCTTCAGCTGCTAGGTTACAGCCGTTGGAATGTTTTCGAGTTTACCTGAGGTGATATATCAATTTCGGTAAGAGAAAAAAGTCACAAGGACTTAAGTCAGGCGAATAGGGGGGCTGAAGAGCCACATTAATGTTTTTACTGACCAAAAACTCGTTACTGACATTGCTATGTGACAAGGAACATTATCGTGATTCAACAACTAGTTGTTCTTGATCTGATGAACGGTGGTGTGGTGAGATTTTTTAACCCCTCTCATGGAAATTATAATTTCTAGATCTTTGATGGTGCGTTGTCATAAGCCCACCCCGAAACCCGATCAGCCTCGTCTAAAGATTCTTTTGACTAGTTAAGTTTTGTGCAACGTTTGATAACGAAGAACCTCCATCTATGCGATAGTAGCCCAAATGAACGATTTTTTTTAATTTTAAAAGTTTTATGATACGTTTTTAACATTTTTCTAGTTGAAAATGCACAGAATTACCTTAAATTCATTTAAGAAAGGTATATGGGTGAATATATTTTTTGATCGGCTACTCTCCAATAGATGGCGCTGCATATCGATAGCCACCACAAAGTCCACCATTTTGAACGACTACCTTGGACTGCTGAAATCCGTTCAGTAAGCCCCAATGCATGGAAGGAGGGGGACATTTTGTTTTTCAACAAAGCCAAATCAATACGTAATATTAGATATAATAAACTAATCCAAACAATATTTTCATCAATAAATGACGGGATTTTTTAATCCCCATCATGGAAATTAGGGTATCTTAATCTTTGACGATGCGTTGCCATGAACAACATATTATGTTTTGCTGGTTGGTTGCTTCATTTTAATTCCAATTTACATATTTATTTCATTTAAATGGCTGTTTTGAAAATGGATATGTTTTGCACTTCGAAGGATACACTCAATAAGTTGTTTTTTATGTTCTTAATTTCTTTAGCGAATACCAAAAATGCGAGGATCTTGTATAAAATAATTTATTTCAAAATAAAACATACTCTATAATACAGCCTATAGACTTTGTTCTTCACTATTATCTGTCTTTTCGAACACAAACCACTTTTTCTTATTCACTAAGAACAGAATCATCATTAGCGGTAGGTGGAGTAGTGAGAATCTGAATAACTTCCTTGATGTTGAACTCGACGCGTCTTCGTAGAATTTATAAGCTGAAAGAAATTGAAAAGTGTTGTTAGGAATTAAGCGGCATTTCCTACACACCAGAAATAACCATTGAATATCTTAATTTTTGACCTCAAAAGTCTCGCGATTGAATTCCTAAACGAATGTTCACATTCATGCGCGTTTTCGTCTTACATTTCAGTTGCGTTTTTCTATTTAAGGCATGCTCAGCCCAACACTCGGTGGTACATTTTCTCCCAAACTGGCGGTCGAACAAACTCACGTAATACGCCTAGTAGCGATTAAATCGGCCTGTATGTGGACTGAGAGGCCGGATAAATCAGAAACCGTGGATTTGTCAGCTTTCTTGATAAGTATTTCGAATACTCATTCCAGTTCCGCATTAAAGTTTTGGTTTTGGTATCTTTTATACCAGCAGACTTACAATTGTATAACTGTTTTTCTTTATGAAATGATGATGAATACATGAGTGACTTTTATTTTACTAGTATAATCAATGCACTGGAAATTTTAAAAAATGCGCTAAATCCATATCCATATCAGATTAATGTTTTTGTGATTTGTACAATCCCACGCACAAACTTACTTCTGTGGGTTTCCTGTTTGTTTACCATTCTAAACTGTGTACGCTTTCATATTCTTTTTACAATATTAACGTTATTTTTGGTGAACAATCTTTACTATCTTAGTCCACATTTGAGCAGGTTTGTGATTATACAGAGTCCTGACAAAAAAAACATGTTAATTGGCTGGTAAGATATTATGTTCGGTAGCAAGCTTGATATTTGGCTATACAACATATACATACCTCACATTTACTCTATTCACTGGGAGCGAAGTGAATCGTCAGCCTTATAGTGGAATATGGTGAAATATGTGACATGTGGGGTCAATGGAGGTCTGGCATATATTTCGCTGTCAACATTTGTCAGGTCAAAAGAGAATTTTGAGTTAGAGATTCAAATTGGTAAGGACCACAAATCGAGTAAATGTATATTTTCATATGATATCCGTTTATGTTTAATATTGCATGTCAAGCACACATTTCCGTCCGACATCCGCTAGGTCACGCTGTTGGGAAAGGGCAGAAGTTTCATAGCTTTTAATCTAGTATCTTACCGAGGTAGATGAAGTAGACGTTCAACGGCGTGACTTCCAGCAAGAACCACCAGTTGGTAGTATCAAGTACCGGCGCCAGCATAGAGATGGCCTGCAGTGCAACAGTGTGTCTCAAGGCCACTTTTTTGCACAACATCGGTTCCGTGACGGCCATCATGCGGTAGCCGGCTCTGGAATAGTCCGGTCGCAGATTCCACGAGAGCGCGTTGAAATGAGGAAACTGCCAGCTGTATAGCAGAGCTGCCATGAGCCAGGCACCAGGACCTAGAGTGCCTGCGCAGGCGGACCACCCCATCAGAGGTGGGATAGCTCCAACTAAAAAAAGTAACAATAATAGCATTTACAATGACAAGATTTTTTACTGGGTATTAACCAACAAATCTTCTAAAATGGGTGTATTTTCCAAATGTCTGAGGAACACAGCAATATGTTGAAAATCGTATTAGTCATACCCTACTGAGCTGGGTCGTGGCAAATGCTTGTTCCGAAAACTGTTGTATTCAGTATACAACTTCTTTCCGTTCAAGTGATTGTATAC